GTTGTCTGTCTCTCAAGATAGAGTAAAGGGACGGAAAACTCTATGCATGCGTAACCAGTGATTTCGAATCGTTGAAGATATTTGAGGCAATCAGTCGCGCATGCATTGAGAGAGCGATAATCTTTGGCTTCCTAGTGATCTGTACATCGTGTTGGCATCTGGTGCAAAGTTTCCCCCTGTTCTCTTCATAATTACAGCTAATCTCAACGCGCGTCAGAGGAAAACTCAGCTCCTCGTCTGAAATCTTGGAGTTTTCAAACAACGTTAGAGTAAGCTACTCCATGGTGCTCAACACATATGTGTTCATGCGGTCCCTGATTTACCATTCACTTGACCAACATTACAGTAATGCGCTACTCCCGTCTATGGTTTATTGAAACACCTTCTGATATTGAATTTCCGAATGCCAAAGGATCAGAGTCGATAGACCCTGCTGTCAAAATAGCCCTCACAAGCCAACCACAGCCCTCATGATCGAAGGGTCCGCATTTTGAACCATGGGCAGAGAGTGCTTGATTTTATGTTCGCTGATATTCCAACGTACGCTCAGGTAATTTGAGAACACACTCAATAGTGCGAGCTCGGAATGTCACCATAATAACTTTCCAGCGGTTCACTACTTTGACAGTCAAGCGCCCACCCCTACCACCATCTCATCCACTATGCCTCTCATTCAGCTAGCGAACGAGTTGCTTCTCTGCATATCTGAGGAGTTGAAGTTCGAAAAGGACATTAACGCTTTTGCACAAGCTAACTGTTGATTATACAACCTGCTTAATACCCACCTGTACAGGCGCAACGTACCACGTGGTGGTTCTGCATTGTTTTGGGCTGCAGAGTACGGGCAGAATACAACGGCACTAAAGTTGCTCGAAGAGATGTCAGATGAGTCAGTCAAGCTTCGCTCAGATCGGGCGCTGATGGATACGTGCGAACTCCTTGAGGTATCGTTTCTTATGTCAGCGGAGAACGGACACGAGGCGATCATAAGACTATTGCTTGACAAAGATGTCGATACTACCTCAGAGGGCTGTTCAGAACGCTACTATATCAGAGAGAACGCCCTCGGAGGAGCTGCAATCTTTGGCCACAAGCAGGTCGTGCAGTTGCTGCTGGAAACGGGTGCCAACGTCAACCTACAGAGCACATGCGGTCATTGGGACACCAGATGATTTTTCGACAGTAACGCACTATACGCCGCTTCACAACGGGGCCATGCGCAAATCGTGAAACTGCTACTTGGTATCGGCACCAGCGTCAATATGCAGTGCGGAGAGCACGGTAATGCACTTCAGGCAGCTGCAGAAGGAGGCTACGAGCAAATTATGAAGCTGCTGCTTGATCATGGTGCCGATATCAACGCGCAGGGCCGAAACTACGTGCTCTAGGAACGAGGTTGCGTTGAGAGCACCGCCCTGCATGTCGCTTGCGAAGAACGACACAACACGGTTGTACAGCTGCTTCTCGAATGTGGTGCCGACCCAACTGTACAGACCGAAAATCGTGGCAGCGCACTTTTAACGGCTTCGGCTATGGGTTACCAGAATATCGTTGAACTGCTGCTAGACAACGGTGCCGATGTAGATGCGCAAGGTATAGACCGCGGTGATGGACGACTCAAAGTCACGAGCGCACTCTACTTGGCCTCGGAACGAGGGCACGGGCAGATAGTCAAGCTGCTATTAGAGAAAGGAGCTGCCGTCAACGCGCAGTGTGGGCAGCATGGTGATGCACTAGGGATGGCTCTGTTGAAATACCGTTCGACCAGTAAGTTGCCAGGGTGAAACCGCTACAAGGTAGTAGTTCACTACCTCCAGACATACTGTATCCGCAAGACAACATCCTAGTGACCTCACTATCGACCAGACGCTCACGGGCACTCTTTCAATGATTCTAAAAACCTTGAGAGTTGAAAGAAGCGTCGATGGATCCATGAGGATATGTTCGGAGAATATGCTGAGACGTATAATTGTATATAAAACATTCCTTGGCAATCCTCGGTGTGCATAGCAGATTCAGTAACATGAATTAGGTTCGAAAATACGAATCCGGTTCCCAGAAATATTAAGTAGGGCTGTATCAGTCTCGGTCGACATCACGAATGATGTGTCAGGGCAAGATGTCGAGGATGCACTTCGTACGGCGTGGCACACGTTTTATTACCACTGTCCAACGATAGCCACCCAAATCAACTACGAAATCGAGCGACACAAAGACCTGAAAGGCTTTTGATTCCGAAGATTCCGACTTCCACACCGAAATTTGGCTCAGTGAGACTTCTGCAATCATCACGCCGAACACGCATGGGCTGGATTGGTGCAATTCAGACCCTCATATACTTTTCGTGATCAGCTATCCATACACCCACGGTAGTAAGAGAGCCAATGTGCATCTGGATCTCATCCTATGCTCTGGACTTAATATCAATAAGATCAATCAAGTGCCTGAAGACTACGATATGACGCTGACGAAACGCCCCGTTGAGTCGATGGAATACGGGCGTTTCAGCTGTTAGACAGGTTGCTCATGAATTCTGCGCCATTCATGCAGATCCTTCGACTTTTAAGCTCCTCTGCCTGGAAGCGAGAGCCAGAACATTAGTCCGCCACTTCGAGTGGCGGCTTCGATCCCTCAATCCTTGCACTGGACCAGCAGAGGTGCCTGCAAATTTTCATCTCGTGACGCAGCACTTCACCTGGATGCCGAACTCCTGAGTGTACCTTTAACACAAGGTCAAAAAGTTCTTGGAAAATACCAACATGCAGCTCTTGTCCTTTCGACAGCGGGTACCACTCGGGTGCTGCAGGCGTGTAAAGTGCTAGGTGCACATGCATACCACGCGATTATTGCACTGCTACTTCGCGATCTGCAACTATCATATACAGAGATACGTACCGAACAATATATCAGCTACTGTGCGACAATGAGCGTCCTGATTGCGCGGCGCCATACAGCACTCCTGACCACGCAGCTACCGTCTACTATTCAGTCTCGGGTAACAGTCTTACTCTTGATCTCACAACATCTTCCACTGCAGATCGATCCGAACACTATCAGTCTATCAATCAGATCCGGAAGAGTCCTAGATGGACTTCAGCGCCCTCATCCACCAGGCCAGGGACTTTGCACTCTGATTTGCAACTCTCCAGAGAGCTTTGCGCTCGCGCCATTGTTTTGGTCTATGGCAAACATCACAATCTAAGCCTCAGTGCGAAATAGTCGCTCGATACGCTAATACCTGCACCTAATCCATTGCCTTCGGTCTCAACCTGATCCACAGGCAACTTTGAAGACACCATTGCGCTTGAACACGGAGTGTTCAGCACAAAAGATCATTGGGTCATAGGAGAGGAGCTGCATACAAACTCAACGCGCTGTCACAACTCGTGCTAGGTCGAAATGGGGCCTACGTAAGCATGTATCTTAACCCCTAAGAGACTTCTCGCGCGACCAACGCCTCACTGCTTCTTGTCCCGGGACTGCCCCTTCTACTCTGCGTAGTGACATAGCACCGCGTCTACGGGCCTCTTTGCTGCGCCTGCCACCTTCTCCGCAAACGACCACCCTTGCACCATCGTCCTCGCCTCGCAAACCTCGCCTCCACCCCCTCGGTATTGCATCTGAGCCAACAATCGGCCTCTGACACCAATCGGAGGACTCAGCCCAACTCTGCGCGACTGAGTGGCTTACCAGAACCACCATGCCACAACAGATCTCTTGTGCAGCCAGGGCCCAGGATCGGTAGCACCCAGCGCTGATCATGGTGGGATGTACATATGCTGATGGTGTGTGTTACAGCTCAAAAGTCCTCAGTGAGGGGATGGTGGTGCAGGGTGTACGAGATTTGGTAAAGGGTAGGACGAGATGGGCGGGTGCAAGCCGGTGCTCGATCGTGAGATGAGTATAAGGGGTCGAGCTCGCGAGGCCTACATTTGGTTCAGCATTGCTGCTCGAGTGGATAGGGGCAGTCAGTTCGGCGCTGGTGACTGGTATCGTGATCTTAGTTGCTCTGGCATGACCATCTGACATTGCTTTCGTCAACGATTTGGCATGCATGCTTTCTGCGGTATAGAGTCACAGAACCACCAGTGAGGTAACCAAGAAGTACTGTTAGTCTCATTTTCGGATACTCGATGCTTAAGCAATACCTTAGTCGCGGAGACATTGGTATGTCTCCGACCTTCCACGGATCTGGATCCAACTATTTCTCGTCAGGCCGGACATGTCGATCGTGAGGTATACAGGTAGTCTCTGTGAGATCTGACCGCACAAAGACGATGGTGGACGTTCGACATCGTCCAACATCGGCTTCATAATCAACTGATCTTACTCCACATCTCAACGACCAACACGCAGCATCATGAGGCATCCATTGTTGCCTGTCTTCGACCCAGATAATTTCAAAGCATACCCAGCCAGTTGTCACTGAGTTACCGTATCTTATACTGTGAACCTCTCGCCGCTTCCGGCGGAGTGGAAAATCGTCTCCTGTAATCGCTCTATTCGCCAGAGAAATAGCTACCACCTTGTGTACCCATCGCGCAAGCAGCTACAGATCAACAGCGGTGAATACGCACTGAAAGGTTATTCGTTTGGGCCGAAGAAGAGCTTACACAGGTTTTGCGGGGAATGCGGCGGTAGCGTGTTCTTCGATCCGAGGATGAAGGAGCAAGGAGAGGGCGGGGGAATAGACTTGTAGGGTGTCAACGTAAGCACATCTGCTTTGGGAGTTCAGCTAACTATGAGCTGATGATGGGCAGGTCCGCATGTTCCATGATGTGAGTCCGGAGGACCTGGATATTGTTCACGTTCACATCAGGTAAATGAACGGGGAGACATGGATTCATCATGACTCTCGAGAACGACAACTCCGGGCCCATCAGACTCAAGGAGTTGGAAGGAGGACCATTGCAGATGTTTGAGGATCCAGGCTCTCCATTTGCCAAGCCACTAAGTAGCTGTACCTCGGTGAATCTCGAAGCTCCACTTCGTAACAGTCTCTCCACTACATCTTTAATACAGCGCAATTGTACATAATGTTTCGCGCACGCTACTTGTTGAACCGCACGCCATTTAATGTAGCACCTCGCTCCTGTCGACACTCCTGCGCCCCATTCACACCCCTCGAGCTCCCGCTGCAATCGAAATTCCGGTGGTCGTACCTCTGGTATGGCACGGTTCTTTCCCTAGGGGTAGTAACAGGCCTTGGGGCACGACACTTCGCAGCGCCGCTTGGCCTGACCGAATCCGGGTCTCAGGACGATATACGCATACTACAGTCGCTGGACACCGATATCGACAAGCTCGACATAGTAAGAAAGCTCAGGAAGCAAAGCTACAGCGTACATACGGATGTGCCGTTATCAAGCGCGGCAGGTTTAGAAGCGCCAAAAGTATGGCAGGAGATAGCGCTAGGCAAGAGTGGGATGGAGAAGGGTGGATTGTTAGATAGTATGAGTGGGACAAGAGGGCTGGGTGTGCAAAGAGCATTCTACAACCCCGAGACAAGAGAAATGGTCGCCGTTGTGTGGATAGGTGGAGGACTAGCAGGGTGGCCTGGCGTTGCACATGGCGGTGCGATTGCGACTATATTTGATGAAGTCATGGCAAGAATGGTCAGGGGACCCAACGGCAACATTGGTAGGTGGACAAAGTGCAAAGAAGAATCCCACAGAAGGCTGACACAAGTCACAGAAGAAGTACATCGCCCGTCCTCCCTGAAGGTAACTTATGCAAAACCCACGTACAGCCTGGACTTCTACGTCTTGCGCGCCACCTTCGCGAGACCGACTCCTCCTCAGACCGAGCATGTACCAGAACCCGAAGCTGAGCCTACAAAGACATGGCTGTCCTGGCTGTCATCACAGAAGGATATGACAAAGAAGTCAGAGCCTGGTCAGATGATTGAGATCATTGGCACATTGGAAAATGTCAAAGGCGACCTATGTGTCAGGGCCAAGGGCACATTCGCTGCACCAGCTCTGGTGGGCTGAGAGAAGAGCTGCCATCACGACATATGACAGGTTAGCTGTAGAGCACCCCAAATTACAGGCCCAGCGTCGGGAACAGCAGAAACAGCATCTACAAAAGCTCCTCAGTTGCAGCTTTTGTTGGCACACGTATTCCTTGTTGACAAAGGAATTCACTCACTTTCGTGGCGAAGCTGAGCCGTGCACACAGGCTAGTCTCTAATGTCGACAGACGAGACACCTCTCGGGTCCAAGAGCGTTGTGGGCATCCATCTACGGTAAAGGGCTAGGTCTTGATTGTGCGCATACGAATGGAAATGTGCTGCATGTTGTGCGTATCTTGATGTCCTGATTGTGCATGCGCTAGACGTTACGGGGCGCCGGTAGCGTATTCTGATCCGCTCTTTGCATTAGACGGCGCGCTGCAAGCTTCACAGCAACCTCTCAAGCATGCAGTAGCTACGCCAAGGCCTAGATCAGTATCAGCACTAAGTCCTGAAACATTAATCACAACGAAATCGCCACAGGACGCCTATTACAATAACTCCCCATGGAAGCCAAGACTTTTCCGGCAGATCGTGCATTGATCATGACAAGCACGGTGAGATTACACGAGGCTACTGCCCTGTTTTGCGCCAACCCATTTCTGTACCCTTGTCTGGTGGGGGCACCCAAAGGAACGAACCGTATTTCCGGATTGCAAAATATTCTGCTGAAGCCACAGCTACGTCAGTGAAGGTGACCGCTTTAGGATGCTTGTGATGCAGCGCGTCAGTAACGAGCAAGAATTCTGCTCTGAGCGGGTCATACAGCTGCTCCATTGCGGAGAATTCGCTGAGCACGACACGGTACAGGTGGTGTGATCGAGCCGTTGATTGGTAGTATGAGCTCACGACGCGCAACGGCTGGCTGTCTTTGGATTTTGGGTGAAGATCCCTTCGCGAGACTTCCCAAGAGGCTGGCATTGTCGCGGCAGAGACTGTCTTTTGAAGCATTCCAGCCACATCTCGTGCACATCGAAGCCGCATTGGGCCATCTCACGCTTCTTATGACGGCATGCGAGAAATTAAGCATGTGGCGTATGACTCCCTAGACGCGGGACAGACAAGGCAGAATCCAGTTTGCTGAGACGTGAAGAGATATTCTCTGCCCATCGCTACCGTTTCAGGCGTGCGAGTACAAAGAGCAGGTTTCTCTGACAAGCATGGGCTTGTGCTGTTTGCGGTCACGCTGCAGCACGAGATTATGGGAGATTGGTATGCACGGCGCGTGCGGTGAGGTAAGGTGAGCAAGGTTGTGTGACGTCAATACGGAAGGGAAGGTCTGACTTGCTATAAGTGAGGGAGCCGCGTTTGTTTGTTGCCCTCATTCCACACTAAACCCCCAAATCTCTACAACAACACCGCCCTCCCACACTCTGTCACCACACTCAACGTCGAAGACACCATCAGTATCCAAATTTATCGAACAAATATCACACAACCGCAAACATGGGTGCCGTGGTTTCTTGCGTACGTTCACAACAGCCACGTTTGTTCATGTGCACCGACTAACAGCACGCAGATCAAGTCCGTCTTCCGCACGATCGGCAACTGTATCATGGCTATTGTCAACGCTATTGCCGCTGGCCTCAAGGCTATCATCAACGCCATCGTCTCCCTGTTTGGCATCATCATCTCCTGCCTGACCTGCGGTAAGTTATCTCGGCAACACCTCAGGTTCTGTGCTAACATCGTAAAAGGCCGTGGTGGAGGAAGAAAGACCCGCACTACACACACGAGTAGAGTCTAAAAGCCTCCCGTCTTGGTCTCTGCACTGACACGGCGTGTCAGTAAGGAGGATGAGGCGGGAGTTGGGCGTCTGAGGAGCGGAGCAAACAGCAAAGTAACCACCGACACCACGACACGATTGGAGCGAGGCTGTAATGAGCGACGAGCATGCTGAAGTTTCCTTTTGTAATACCAAGGTGCGCTGTGAATACCCGATGAAGAGTGGATGCATTCTTGATCACGCGTGGCGCATAGATACCCCAGTTTCCGATGAATCAACTTTAATACAGCACATTCGTCTTTCATTGATGTGAATATTGGCTCACTGCACGCACTTGCAGCGCTCTCTCCCTGTCCTGTCTCAACGATGTCGACACTCGTCTTGGCCAGTGTCAGCAACGAAGGGCTGGCTGTACGAACTTCGTTTACCGTCTCTTTGAGAGATCAACGTTGCATTACGCTTGGTACGTGCTCAACAGCATCACCCGCCCTACTGACAGAGCCGATACCCTGCCTCCAGCCTAAAGGAGACCTTGCAAAGAAGAGACTCATGAGAAAGTTATCAGGACAGATTCACCAGCGATGACCACGGCTTCCTACCAAGCCATCACTTTGAGGAAGACCCTGGACCTATCGGGACCGACGAGCCAAATCCTCACCACGCGCATTCTATGTCAGCAGTGAAAGGAGAGCATGGCGTTCCAGGTATCTGACCCGTTATGGACCGTGTGGAACAGCGAAGGAGCCAAGCGCTGTTCTGCTTGTCAAGAGTCCACGAGGTGGTGGTTGCGCAATAGAGCTCTGGAACTTACTCGACATTAGCTGGAAAGGAATCGGAGATATCATTCATTGAAGACGGGACTTTCTGCTGCCTGAAACAAGAACCCCGTCGACACTCGAAGCGATGCGAGTATCAAATAGCACGCCCACTAATCACAGCTGCGCATACCTGTTCACGCTATGCAGGGCAACTGGCCCCATCTGAAACCAGAAGACATGACCGCACTGGTCTGGTGTTGTGCGATTCAGGAGAGGTTCGAGGAGGTATAGCAGACAGCCAAAGGAAGCGATCAAGCAGGAAGTGAGTATCACGAAACTGCAAATACCTTGGTCTCTAAGCTCCGCCTTGCCGACCCGCCCCACCGCCGAGAGTCCCTCAAACCCCAGAAAGCATTCCTGCTTTTCAACTACCGAAGATCAAAGCGCTGCTCCAATACCATCACCGCTGAAGACTCGGTCGACAAACACAACAGCGTGGAGGTACAACAGCATACCTCACCGGGAGAGACCGCTTCTACGTGTTCCAAAGCGATACTGGAATGGGACCATAGACAAAGACATATACCCGGGATACAAGCATGTACCCGCGGATTCTCCAAACCCACTCCAAGTCCACGATGGCGCCTATTCTTCACCGAATGACTATACTTGACGCCTGCTGTCATTTGTCCACACTCGCAGCAATTGCTCGAAAGAAGTATGACGTCATGCATCTTCCAGGCGCTGCCGCACACCTTTAAGCTTCTTGCAGTGACAACAACGCCCACAGCCAAAAAATGAACCAAATACGTGGAACTTGCAAAGGAGCATCTCTTCAATCTCTATACGAAGTTTCAGATAAGTTCCTAAATATCGTGGGCTTGGGCTCTGCTTGGCCCATCGAACAGATGCTGAACCAATGAGCTGTGTGTTTCCCCGGTCCTCCGGTAGTCAACCGACGCTTCAACGTGCAAGCCAGTAAGTCATCTACAAACTACGGTTTCGGTGTCGTCCAAAATTGGTGTAGAGCATGTCAGAGTTCTATTTTGACCAGTCATCGGCCCTATATTTTTGCAATCAACCACCTGCGCATGCTCCGCCCGAGTACGCTGATTCGTTCACAAATACGGAGGCGCTAACTCGCAACGTCTATCTTGTTGTCTTGGCGCAATGCATCGAGGCATTGCGCCGTATTTGAATCCTATGGCAATATATTCTGCAAGTACGATGTCACTGAACGTGTCCTTGTTTCGATTACAATTCGCCGACTTCACCACCACCCCAGTTGAAGGTGCTAGGATCGGCATTGAAACAGTTAGATTTCTAGGCTTTGGCGCAATGCGTGGAAGCGCACGTGGTTGTGAGCGTCGATATAAGATGTCCTGGGAAGCCGGATGAGAAAATCACCAAACCATCGCCATCCGAAGCCCAAGATGCCATCAACACTCCGCAACATCGTTTCGCTGCTTCCCCTCGTCCAGCTCGCTGCTGCTCAGACAGGAGCCTTCAACATCGTCACATTCAACGTTGCCGGTCTGCCGCCGATCCTCAACGGCAACGACATCCCTGGAGACAAGGATACCAACACGGCACGTATCGGTCAGCTGTTGACACAGTACGGCATCGACCTCGTCCACGTACAGGAGGACTTCAACTTCCATGCCACACTGTACGCCAACGACAAGCATCCGCACAGGACTCCGACAAGTGGAGGTGTGCCCTTCGGCAGCGGATTGAACACGTTGAGCAACTTCCCATATACCGACTTTGAGAGGATCAAGTGGGACGAATGCAGCAACAATGAGTGAGTAGCCTTGTTCGGCACGACAGCGGACACAGAGCCCGAACTCCCACAGGCGATTTTCCTTTCAGTGCAGAGTAATCTAACAATCATTGTAGGAGCCAGGACTGCCTGACGCCGAAAGGCTTCACAGCCATGCGAGTCAAGTTTGCTGACGGCGTCTGGGTCGATGCTTACAACCTGCACGCAGATGCTGGGTGCGTTCTGGAACGATGGCGGCTTTGCAATCGATACTGACGATCTGAACAGCACCTCTGCGGCGGATCTGAAGGCCAGGGCTTCCAACCTGCGCCAGGTATCCGACTACATCAAGACCAACTCGGCGGGCAACCCCGTCCTCGTGTTTGGTGATTCAAACACTCGCTACACCCGCGCTGGCGATACCCCAGGCATCTTTGGCACCGAGAACGGCATGAAGGATCCGTGGATCGAACTCGTCATGAAGACGGCCCCAGCCGCTGGCAAGGATGCTCTGCTCTGCGACAACCCGTCGCCCAACAACACGTGCGAGATTGTCGACAAGGTGTGGTACCGCGGCTCGTCTGCGGTCAGCCTGCAGGCCACGACGTTCGAGTACGCAGGCGACATGTTCCTACAGACGGACGGCAACGTCCTCAGCGACCACGACCCCGTGCTCGTCGACTTCACGTGGTCGCTGCAGGGCAAGCTGCAGGTCGGCGACGCGTTCGGCGGCGAGTTCGGGACGTGGTTCAACGACCTGGACGCGGTGAGCAAAGCATCGGATGGCAAGGTGGCCTCGGTGACGCTGCGCGGTGCGGAACGCGTCGACGCCATCAGCATGAGCCTAGGATCCGGCGAGACGCTGACGCACGGCGGCACGGGCGGGACGGCGTCGACGCTGACGCTGAACGCGGGCGAGACGCTGACGGGCGCGACACTGTGCCAGGGCACCAAGAGCGGCAAGGTGCGCATCTTCTACGCGCAGCTGCGGACCAGCGCGGGCCGCAACGTGAGCACGGGCACCAAGACGAGCGACTGCGTCGACAAGACTGCTGCGAGCGGACAGAGCTTCGTTGGCTTCCTGGGTCGTGCGGGCGACGAGCTGGACAAGCTGGGCTTCATCAGCACCAAGGCGTGATGTGTGGTGGACTTTGCTCGTAGCGGAGAGGGTGTAGGTGTACGTTTGGGAGGCATGCATTGATGATTTCCACGAAGTTTTATAGGCCTTTTTTCTTTTTTTTTTCTTTTTTTTTCTTTTCTTTTTTTTCTTTCCTTCTTTTCTTCTCTCCACGACGTTTGGAGACGGGCTTTCTCTCATGACGTTTGGAGACGGGCTTTCTTTCATGACGTTTGGAGGGCTTCCTGCCTTCCTTTCTTTCTCCCCTTCTTTCTTTCCACAAACTTGTAGAAGGCAGTCAACGAATTTCTTGAACATGACATACAAATCACACAATAGCATGACAATAACATGACATACAAATCACACAATAACATGACATACAAATCACACAATAGCATGACAATAACATGACATA